ATTCAAAAGCAACAGCTTGTTTCTTAATACAAATTCATTTTGAAAGATCATTAAAATCCAATAACTGGCAGATTTTTCCATGGCTCAGGAAGGAATACAGGGTCATTTTGGAACGCAGAGTGTTGGGGAGCTAGGTGCCTTAGGAAAGTGAGGGGTTTACGTGGATGCCAAGGAGACAGTTACTGCTGACTTCAGCAGGGGTTTGTTGCAAAGATGCAAAAGAATGTTAGGCAGGTGAAATACTCCTCCCCTTACTTACTGAAGCATTTGTCTTTTAGCACCTTGAAGATAATCATAATGTGCAAGGCCTTGACATTTCTAATGACATAATCTTATTCTCGGTACCTGCATACATCTAATCATTCTACCCACAAAAAGCTTGAATGCTGTGTGAGTTGAGGTTGTGCTAACCCTTGTAACAAACTCAAAATGCTGCCCTGGGCTGGGCAGTACCAGGCAGATGTGTGAGGGGTTTGGCATTCTGTGGGCTGAGCTGTGCTGATTGGCTAATTCTCCCTTTCCCTGCATATTCTGCATGGGCAGGGAAGCAGCAGTATCACAGATCCCCCGGGAGGCGTCCATCAGCTGCCCTGCAGCCAGTGTGGTGATGCCTTCCCTATGCTCAGTTTCTTCCCTTCTGGTCTTGCTCCTTCTCCTCCCCGCCCACACTCCTGAGACTGAGCTTCCCAGCATTTTGCAGCACTATGCCTTGGGCTCTGCTTCTAGGGAAGCCAGCCTAACACAGCAGGCCTCTTGTTAGGCTAAGGGTTCAGAGCCTATGCAGGTCAGGATGTTGGAGGTGCATACATGAAGAGTGAATATCTCTGTAATGAAACACTGGACCTGACACAGGCTACTTGGGAAGAAAAGGGCGCTCGACTTGGCCCATGTCTGGAGGTTCAAGTCCCAGATCAGGCCACCGCATGGGTTTGGGCCTCTGGAGAGGTCAGAACGCCATGGCAGGAACACACAGAGGAGCAGAGTCACATCCTGAGGCAGGAGGCAGGAAGAGAGCTCCCAGCCCTGTGCTGAAGCCTCCTTGTGGGCTGAGGCCCTGTGCCTCATACCCACCACCCTGGGGGCCAGGCCTGTATGCATGGGCCTCTGGGGCCCACTCCAAAGGTACAGCATTGTCGTCACCAGGAATAAGCCAGGATGAGAACGATGTAATCATTTTTATCTCACTCTCCTCAAATTAGGAAAATAATATATAACTCAGCACATATAGAGTTTTCCGTAACACACATATTAATAAATTCATTTCTCGTCTTTCTCCTGAGTTTCTTCCCTTACCTATCCAAAAATCCAAGTACTTGGTCCTTCTTATTAATGAAGGAAAGATCTGCTAAGTTTATTCCGAGGAGTCTCTAGGCAATTTCTGCATTGCGTTTTCCAGAGAGTGGTTTACTCTGTCTGGGAACACTGACCCCCACAGCAGGCCTTGCCCCGGTGTTGACAGAACCTCAGCTGGCAGAGACCTGTTCTGGCCTCCAAGACCCCACAAGCCCCGCCGTCTTTCTGGCCGCTGCCTGGCCTGGCCTTGGCATTTTCCAGACTTAAGTGTGCACGGTGAGCGTGTGCAGAGTGTTGGGAGGAGCAAACTGCAAGGGCTGACAAGACCAGACCGTTGTGCCCAGTGGCGGCTTCCAGGCACCTCCTCCCTTGTGCCCAGTGAGTTCCAGAGTTCGGAAGACGGCGGTCCTACAGTGAGGCTGTAGCCGGGCCAGTGCACAGCCACAGGGAGTCTCTTCTCTGAGTGTGTACTTGAGCCCGAGTCAGGGAGCTGAGTCACACACGCTCACAGCCTTCCCTGTGCCAAGCGAGGCTGTTCACAGCGGCAGGGGTCTTGCAGGGACTGAGTTCAAGAGTAAGCACAGAGGCTCAGTGAGGCTGCTGGTCCCAAACGCTCCCTCCTACCTCACTGTGAAACAGCTGGTCTGGGTGGTGGCCGCACAAACACACCCCAAGTATCACCGGACGGCAGAGTCACCAGAGATCTCCTCCCCTCCCGGGGCTCCCTCTGAAATGGGTAAGAAGCTTTGTCTTGCTCATATTTGCACCTGCAGTGAGTATCAGAAATCCAATCTCATCTGAGAGATTAGATGTCACGTCCGGAGAGGCTGGGTCAGATCCAGGACAGGAGGCTCGGCAGAGGGAAGACTTCTTGAAGTCCAGTCATCCTGGGCTCGGAAGTGATTGAAGCAGACCCCCAGGGAGCTCCGCAGGAGAGCACGGAGCACTGGGGACCTGCGCACAGCAGGGGCGCCAGGCAGAGAGCTGAGCGTAAGCCTGCGGGAGCACCCTGGCTGGAGGCAGGATGTTAGGGGTGAGGTGGCCTCACTGCCCTCATTCTCCGCCCTCCTACAGCCCTGTCTTCTGCCACCCCGGGCTTCTGGCCATCCCATTTCTGCTCCTGGGTCTCTGCTTGCTCTTGGAACACCATGGTTATTGCAACCCTGACTGCCTTTGAGCTGCCACTCCCAGTGCTAACCCACCTGGGCCTCGTCTGTCCAGGCAAGGGACTCTGCTGTCAGACTGTGAGTCCACGCAGAGGTGGGTGCGCAGCAGAATCACGGAGTTTCACTCACGTCCCCCAGGCAGTGGACTTCGGGCTGAGCAAGTCCCCCCCAGGGGCTGGGGTGAGAGCCACGGTCACCAGCCCACGGGCCAGCTGGGTTCCCAGTGGAAATGGGCGCAGACCTTCTGCCTTTGAGTGACCTGTGTGTCCTACATGTCTCGGCTGTGGGAACAAGGAGAAGAAGGGGAGGAGAGGAGCCACGGTGCGCTGGCGAGCACTGAGGGGAGGCGAGCAGACTTGGTCGGGCTGCTTCCTCCTACTCCAAGGAAGCTGTGTGGACAGCAGCTGTTTCCTCTTCATGGGAATAAGGCCACCAGGGTCGATGAGAGGACGCGTGGGAAACCAGGGCCCACGATGAGCCCACTGGCTCCTGGCGGAACCGCACAGCGCATGTGGTGTCATGGCTCGAATGCAGCTCATTCCCGGGCACGCAGGCCGGAAACCATGCTGGAGCTGGACCTGCACGAGGTGGTCACACGGGGTGCGTGGGGTTTTCTGGAGAAAGGGCTGCCGTGAGGGGAACCGCGCCCCATAGCCACCCCTCTGCCTCCCCAGCCTGAGCTTAGGTGGCGGGGGGCCAGCTCCATGTTCTTGGACTTCTCCTCTATGTTGACGGATCACCAGTCCCGGTAAACAGACTAAGACCCAGCCTGGGAACTCAAGCTGAATGCAGATCCTGGGCTCACTGGTACCAGGTGGGCAAGTGCGGACACGCCAGTGCCGCTTCCGGACCTCAGCTGTACCCTGTGCTGAGAGTCACGGCCGTGAAGGTTTGAAGCGCATCCTCCACCCGCATTCCCGTTCATTCCCTGCTGACGGCATCTGTGCAGCAGCCAGTCAGGCGGAGTGCACTGAAGGGTCCTCAGGGCACGGAGGCCTCCGGGAGCAGAGAGGGGCCTGGGCCGCAGAGCCCGGGCCTGGCCAGAGCCTGCACAAGGGCGGGGCGGCCGGCCTGCAGGGCCTGCTTGGGAAGGTGGGCTGGGGTCCAGGGCCAACTCCTCTGTCTCCTGACTCAGGCCCCACCATACTGCTGGAGTCCGTTTTCTAAATCTCAGCCCTGAGCATCTCATGCTCCACACAGAGCCCCGAGCGGGACTCTCAGTCCTTCAGAGCAAGGGCTGAAGCCCTGGACAGGGCATTCAAAGCCACATGACCTGGTGGGAATAATGGCCTGCCTCACATTGTACAGGGAGAACCTAGGCTCATTCAAGTTATGTGGACAGAAAATCCAACGAGCGGAAGCTTTATTGTAACGTGTACATGGAAATCAGTGGATATTCATGACAATGATTTTAGTTAGAAATGAAGACAGAAAAAGAATTACCAAATAAAAAATTGGTCAAAGAATTAACATGACTTAATTCTACCGAAGGCACTTTTTTTCTTAGGGGAAATTCACCAACATTGGTATAAGTCTAGGGCAACGTTTCTGTTTATGGACATTGAGTTCAGACAATTTTAGGGTCACTACATTTTGACTGACATCAGCCATTGTCAACCAGAAATCATACCCTCATGTAATGGCAATAGCATTATGAAACCAGTCACTAGAAAAGCAGTATTTTTGGCATGCTCTTTGGATTAGTGGACTCTGCAGTGCATCACGATCACAGTCCTCATGGGCGGTCGGCACATGTAAAGAGCACATCCCAATTCTCTTTTTCAGCCTCTTTCCCTTCTCTCCTTCTCCTTGCCTCCATTTGAACCCCTTTCCATTGGAAAAAGATCTCCCGATGTCCTGTTATCTTTTATTTTGCTCTTTATTCACATTTTGAGCTCATATAAACCATGTGATATTTAAGTGTGTGTGTCTGATTTATTTCACTTAACATTATGGTCTCAAGGTGCATCCGTTTTCCTTCTTTAAGGCAGAGTAGTACTCCACTGTGCATAAGTCCATAATTTATCTGTTCATCTTATGGGCCGCTTCCAAGATGTAGCTATTATGAGTTGTGTAGCTATAAACATGGGTGACATATAACACTGTAACACGATGCCTTTATAGCTCTTTGGGGAAGACACTTAGAAGGGGAACAGCTGGGTCAAATAATAAACACTTTTCCTGCCCCGAGACAGCAGCAAAGCTTTATGCATTGCTCCTGAGAGGCTGATTGGGTTCTGAGTGCTGAGCTGGGGCCCGGAGCTGTTCGCACTGGGGGGACGGGCGCCTCGATGGTGCCCAGACTGCAGGAGGTGCCATCAAAGGTGCTGTGGCGAGCGCCCCACGCTGTCCAGCTCCAGACAGCTTCGGGGCTCCCGAGTCCCTGGCACTCACCTCCCCAGGGGCCTCCAACCGCGCTCGCCCGCTGGGAGCACTGAGGGGTCAGGTGCTCCGGGCTCCCGCGGGAGGGCATGGCCAGGGCGCAGCCACCGCTTCCCGCTCAGCCCGCGCTCGGGCGTCTTTGGCAGTGCGTGACGCGGCAGTGCGTGACGTGGCAGTGCGTGACAGCGCAGTGCGTGTGCGGGCAGTGCAGGACCCGTGGTTCCGCGCACAGCCTCGCCTGCCTCCACTTAGCTCCCGCGCCGAGCCCAGCGCGGGTCTCAAGCTCTCTGCGGCCGCGGGAGCGACTCAGGCCGCCGGCCACGCGGGCACCTGGGGGAAGCTCACCGGCCGCCTCTGCTGCGTCCCTCGCTAACCTCCCGGGTCTTCCTGCTCCGCTCTCCAGGTATCGTTTTTAAACCTGAAGCTATTCTGATGCCTAGTGTGCGGCGAGCCTCGGCATGTTCTTTCCCGGAGTCACAGCACCTTCTTTAATTCCATGTATCAAACAGTCCTTCCCTCCCGACCGATCCAGGCCTTTCCAGAACAGGGCTTTAGTTTGCTAACCTTCGCCTCTCCACTGGCTGCTGAAAGGCCACCGGTGAAACATGATATATTTTTATTATTTGGCAGAGTGTATTTGTGTTGCCACACTTGGCCTTATAATCTGAATTATACCTTCCCACCCACATTTATGTCTTGAAGCTCTAAACCTCAGGATTCAGGTTCTGACTGTAGTGGGATTTATGGTCTTCAAATAGGTGTTGAAATTTAATAAATGCCTAGGGGCATGGGGCAGACTTTTTGAAAGGCATATGTTATGGGCGTGTATGACACCCACGCTTATTTTTTAGGAGTATTTCTAGTGATGAATTATTAATTTGAATTGTATGAGTTTTATTAAACAATGTGTACTTAACAGGAAAATGAAGTATCAATAGAATAAAATAATAAAGTTTTAATATGTAACGAGTGTTTGGAATAACGTCAACATTTTTGACATCGATTATCTACCTGCTTACAAAATCTTAAAAAAAAAGCAGAAATAAATTCTTATGTGAACTACAATTAAAATACAAACAAAACTCCACCACAGAAATAATCCTCACTTCAGTTCTCCCCGCTCAGGCAGCCTTTACGCAGGACAGCTGTGTGTTCCACGCACAAGTCTGCCCACACTGGCGACATGTGTGCTCCGCTCTCCCTTCCTCCTGGGCAGGCTGTGCTCTCACCTCTCGTCTTCCTCTTTTGTCAGGAGCTTCCTATGATGTGACCTAATGTGCATCTAACAGGAAAATAAAATGTCAGTAAAATGGAATATCACATATGTAGTGTTTAAAAAAGCATCAACATTTTCCACATCCACTGTTTACTTACAAACCCTAAAAAATAACAGCAGAAATAAATTCCTGTGTGAACTGCAATGAAAACACAAATAACACTCTACCACAGAAATAAGCTTTACTTCAATCATCACACCTGAGGCAGCTTCCGCACGTGAAAACAGCATGTTTCATACATGAGTCTCGCTCACACCAGTAGCGCATGAGTGTGGTTTTCCTGTCTTCTTTGTGGGACACCCAGAAGGTCTTCCTGCTCTTGTGCTGTTTCACCTGTCTGCTCACCAGTCTGCTCCAGAATCCTTCTGTAGAGGCTGGGATTTAGCTCAGTGGCTCTGCCGCCCGCTTCACAAGCACGAGGTCTGGAGATTGATCCCAGTACCAAAAAAAAGGAGGAAAGAATTATTTTGTGGAGTCCTTTGGGCAGATTCATACCATTCTTCCTCTGTTGTAATTGATCATTAACAATACCAGTCCCAATCCTCTAAGGAAATTTTTCCATGATATTTTGTGCTTGTTATTTTCTTGGCAAACTAAAACTATTTATGCCTGACATGTTTAGGATCGAGTAAAACACAGCCACTGGCCAACGTTCTGTTTCAGGTGACATCATAGTTGCTGCATAACTCCTCAACAGCATCTACTCGGCCTTTCATCTTGTAAAATGTGACCATTTTTGGCTTCACTTGTGTTGAGGATGGATTCACTATCAGCGGTTTGGTTTTGTTCTGTTTTGAGACAGGTCCTCACTGTGTAGTCCGGGTGAGCCTTGAACTCACTGTGTAGCACAGGCTGACCTTGAACTCACAGGAACTTCCTGCCCCACTATCTGAGAACTTCGCACTCTCTGCCTGCGGAGTGCTGCCTCACTGTCAGTCTTCTCATCGTGGTGTCATGTTGACAGTGTCAATATGACTTTGTTTGTCTTCCCCGTATAGGAGGCCTATGTGACATCTTTCTGAGATCCAAAGATTGTGCTATGTGTTTCCCTGTTGTGAACTTGCAACGTTTCTTTAGGAATCTTAGCTTTGTTCTTGGGACTAGTTCCTGTGCTGGTCAACTGGTGTTCTTTTGGGAAATGTCATGGGCAACGAGTGAGCCAGTTGTCAAATGTGACATTTGGGTTACTTTTTGAAATAGCTGCAAACAGTCTGTTCACTACATCGTATGGTTTGTTACTGCACCGATGAAGTCCTAGTGCCTGAGTTCCATGATAAATTTCTAAATTCAGGGTATAAAATGCCTTCACATCTCCCAGGGCATATATTATTATACCATGTTTGGAAGGTTTACTTGGCGTATATTGCTGAAAACTTCAGCAACCATGAAATGATGGAAGTTTGTCAATTGTCATGTATTCTGACAGTATATAAATTGCTTGACAGTTTGAAACAAAGCCTTTAAAAAATGAGCAAATAGCAGCCAAATTGTTGGATTTTTTTCTAAGTGGGTCTTCTGTCATCAAAATTTAGGCAATTTTGAAGGAAATCAAATCTCTTGAGTGTCATTGTTCTAAAAATCTCATTGTCACATCTGTCAGTTCGCCATAAATCCTTTAAATTCTGATGATTAAAATGATAAAGTCCTGCTAGGAAGGCTTTTAGTTCAATTAGTGAGGTGTTGTGATAAATGTATTTTTGAGTGTGACTATTGATGCATGTGGAATGCTTTACTTGTATTTCATTATTAGTGTATTTCACACCATCTTCTTGTAGCATATTGTCTGTTACACACAATTTCCAACCTTGAATAGTAGTATTGGGATTCCATCCAATAGGTTTCACCCCTGGCAAGAACCTAATAACGTTTTCTGACCTAGTTCTAACATGAACTATCCAGGTACACATGTCCATTTTGTAGGAGTTTAACTAGTCAAATGTTCATTTAAATTACCACTTTCTTCCTCCTCTGAATCAAGGTCTTCATTCTGCTCTTCTTTATCATATCTTGCTCCATCTCACTGTTACAACTTCGGTTTAGATCCAAGTCATCCAAGTCAACATCAGCATCTGAATCACCTGACGACCCACTTCCAACCTCCTCCCAAAGTTGTAAAAGCAGATTTTCATGGGATATTGTACTGAACTAGGTTAATTATACAAGAAAAATAAAAAGAAAATATTTAATGAAACAAATTCTAAATACACAAAAATGTAACATGGTGCATAACATGGGTAAAACTCACCTGTTGACACTTTGACACACGTGCGTACACCTTGCTGTTAGTTGTATCCAAGGAGTGAACAGAAAGATTGCTTCCCCCAGCACAGCTACTGAGATGCACAGCCAGCTGCCATTATGCTAACGTACATATTTTTATTAGAAAAGTATGGAAGTGGCATCTGTTACCTACCCATAATTCTCTTATTGCATCATTAGGCCAGGCCTGAAGCCAATGGAACACAGACCCCTGGAAGAAGAAATTTGGACACAGACATATACAGAAAGAAGACTATGCAAAGTTACATGGAGAAGACAGCCACCTGCTGACACCTTGCTATTAGACTTCCAGCCTCAAGAACGATGAGACAGTTGACTTCTGTTGTTTAAGCTACCAGGTCTGTGGTGCTTTGTTATAGTAGTCCTTGAAAACTGACTTAGTTTTTTAAAGATAACATTTTAAGTAATGTCTGCCTGTGGGCTGCTTATTGCTTTGAACTATCTAAGCTTTCAACCAAATGATTGTATCCTTTTAAACATGTCAGTGCCTAAGAAGGAAACCTGATGGAAATACAGGGAAATGGCAGTCACATCTGGGTGTGGGATTTGGGGTTGTTATATTTTTGTTTCTTTCTAATCTTTAAACATTTTCCAAATTTTCTATAATGCTCATGAGTTACTCTTCAAATTAAGGAGAGAAGCTATTTTAAAATCATGTGACAGTCTTAGTGTGCTTATGAGGTGGTGTCGTAAGGGTGGGAAAGCTGAGGTTTGCATGTAGTTGAGCTTCTGGTGGTCCTTGTATATTTCTGAGTTAAAAGGCTTGGTTTGTTCTGTGAAAATGCGTAGTTCTCAAAATGATGGTGCATTTGGATAAGTCCCCCTTTTCTTTGGGTTTATTGCACAGTGACAATGGGAGGCGTTTTTCAGAGACAGACGAAGTTCAGATTTCCATTTCTGTCCCTGACAGTATTGTGTGCAACTGCTCATTTTTTGCCCTCTTCTAATTTCCACACTACCACTTATTGTATTTCATTAAAACTAGTTTAGAAATGCAAGGCATATAATTAGGTTGAGAAATATGCTATCGATTTCGTTTGCCATTATGATGTTATCACATGCAGAAAACGAAGTCATTTGGTACGATTGCTATGATTAAATCCACAAAAGAGATCTATTACATCAGACTTCATTTTCAAGGCCTGGTGCAGTGTAAAATACGGAAGAGGGTTAATCTCTCTTTATTACTGCCCCATATGTCATGGCTCCGCAAATGCCTATAGGCTAACAATTTCAATTGACTCTTTAGGAGATAAGGTTTTCTGGGGGGAAAGCCATTTAAATAAAAGTCAATCAATACATAAATACTCTGTTTCTAGTTGGACACTGCACAAAACTCATGTTCTTCCCACAGCAAGGTGTCTGGGAAAGGTGGAGTGTGGGCTTTGGAATCAGACTGAAGTAGGGTCAAGACACAGGCCCTCTGCTGCGCAGGGCAAGGTGCGAGCACTGTTCAGTACTTAGATGTTATTTTAGTCAGCTCCTGTGAAGCCGTAAAGTTACTGGCCCAACTTCATATGAGTAGTAATTCATAGGGTTTTAATTCTCTTAATTCTAAAGCTCATTACTTTCTGCAGGAATGTTGTCTTTCCCTTTTCTTGAGTGATTTTGGATTCCTTACGTATGTTTCTGAGTTTTGGTTTTCTCATCTGGTAAGCGAGGCTAGTGCTATTTCTTCATAAGGTGGTTTTGATGACTAAAAGGATTACGGTCTATACAAAGCTGAGCGCTGTGATTGGCATGTAGAAAGTTCCCAGTAAATGCACCTTCCTGTCCCCATCATCAGTAAATACTTCCCCATCCCTAGGCACTGGGTCAGAAGAATGATACTGATTTTCCTCACTCCTGTCTACATTTACAAGGAAAAGAAAGGAAACCCCCAGGATTACGGATCTAGAAGGATGTCATTTATAAGAATAGCCTGGGAACTAGCTGTAAAGACTTGGTCACGGCTGTGCTTGTGAGTTTGGTTTTAATAATCTGCAAAAGAATTTTAGCATGTTTATTAAGTTCCTAGTATGTTGCCCTGGGAACATTTTCATATATTTTGCTGTTTAATTTTTTCCCATCTCCTTAAAGGGTAGATCACTGAAGAAACAGAGACTCCAACAAGTAAGATTTGATCAGTGGCTTGAAGGATGAGTAAAATTTCCACAAGCTGAAATGAAGATGCAGAGATTCTACATACAATAATCTTGGAATGTGTTGATTCAGTTGTTTTGAGTAAAACCATCAAAATAGTACAGTAGAAAGAAAATGATTTTGAGGCAGGCAGATCTGAATTCAGAACTCAGCTCAGCACTTGCATGAGAGGCAGTTAGTTCTCGGACTTACCCTCTGCACCTTAGATTTATGACTACATGGTGAGGGGCATTAACACCTAATTCTTGACAGTTGCTGTAGGGACCCCAGGAGGAAAGGATTGTGAAATCAGGCAACTATAGTTTAAGACTATCACATTTTAATAGACCAAAGAAAACCCTTCTTATTAATATTTCAAAGGCTTCTAGGAGCAATTTGCATAAATACGGATGAACGTTGAACACTTCTGGTTGCAACTGACACCGAGTAATTGCAGTGCCGAGTGAGGCTCACGTCGGGTTCCTGCACTCTCAGGTCTGGGTCCTCTCCGTTCTGCTTGCTTCCGGTCACCTTCATCTTCAGACCGGGTGGCTCACCCCTTTCCTAGTTAATCACTTCTCTGCAACGTTCTCTGATTAGACTTGGTTGGATCTTGTGCTCGTCCCTGGACTGAGAGCCCAGTTCAGGGGTGGGATGCTGTGATTGGTCAGCGTGTGTCCCACATCCACCCTGGCCTTGGGAGTGGGATGACCAGACCTGAGTTCAGGGTGGGGAGTTGGGAGAAGTGGCTGTCAGTCTTCTGCCCCTGCTTCCTTGGGTCCCTGCAGCGTCTGCCTGCATGGAGAGCTGGGGAACCTGATTCCCTGAAGGCAGCCCTATACAACGAAGGGCAGAAGTGGATGCTAAATGCTGCAGCCCCTCTGACGGAGAGTCACCCTGAGGTTCTGTCTGTCTCCAGAGCTCTTCTGAGAAGTTGAGCTACACTCATCCCCTGCCATTGGGATACTGTCCTTGTCCCTCAGACGCCCATTGTAGATTTGCCTGGGAATATGTGCCCAAAATCATTTTCCAAGTAGTCCTTGTGAGAGGATGCCTGCTTCTGGGGAACCCAACCTAAGAGTTTTCTCCAAGAAAAGTTGAGAATTTTATTTAGTTGACTATCTCTGCAATCACGTAGCATAAAAGATACCATTAAATCTCAGGCACTTATCCAGCAAATATTTTAGTTTCCCAAACAAGTTATCTAGGGCACCTCTGATTCAGAATATGGTTTTGGGATAAGCTGGTCCCACCTGTCTTTTGTTCTGGAACCAAGGGTTTCCCAGGAAATCCTTTCCTCAAGACAGGGCAGGCTAAGCAAGACCATTTAGAGCCTTGGCTCAAAGCATAGCACCTGATGGAGCCAACATTGGCAGGTAAAGGAATCCTCTCCCTCTACTTTAGACAAACACAGAAGCCATAGATTCTATTAAGGGAGAAAAGGAGGAATTGAGACTCATAGCCAAATCTGCATTTCCATTTAGAGGGCATAGGGGGTGCTGTGCAGACAAAACCAGCAGGTGCCTACCCTGATTTACTGCAGCTGTATGGAATACCGAATCATGACCCATAAGGGTGACCAGGTCCTAAATCCCAGAACCTGCGAGAATGTCGCATACGGTAGAAGGGACATTGCAGATGTGCTCGAGACTGAATGCAGAGATCACCCAATTATCTAGGCCAGTACAGTGTGATCCCAAGGGCCCTGCGAGACAGAGGCAGGAAGTCGGAGAGGAGACCAGATGCTGCTCCAAGGGCTTCGGCAGTAGGAGGAGGGCCCCTCAGCTGATCTGAAGGGGCTCCTCAGTGAGGAGAAGGGGATGTAGCCACTCCTAGGAGGCACTGCAGCAAGGCTGACGTATCTCCTGGAGCTTCAAGAGGGACCAATGCTGACATTATGGCCTGTGTCTAGATGTCCCCCAAAGCCGCATTCGGTCACAGGTGACTGGATTAGGATGTGTGAATGTGAATTAAGGGTGTGGACAATGGAAGCCCCACCCTGGGTATGGCTGGCACCAGTCAGTAGGCTTGTATCCTGGATGGAATAAAGGGATAGAGCTGCTCGCTGCTGCTAGCTGCCTTCTACCTGGCATGCCATGGCCGGTTTCTCCTCCCTGATGCCCTCTGCCAGGCCACCCTGCCCTGGAACCAGCCGACTATGGACTGAAACCTCTACACACTGTAAACTGAAATAAACCTTTTCTCGTTTAGCTTTGAGTGTTGGGTATTTTGTCTCAGCAGCAAGTAAAGTAACTAAGATACTCCCAACATCTTGATTTTAGCCCTAAGAGACGTCTCAGTTTCTGACTTCCAGAACTATAAGAGAATGGATGTATATTAGTTCAAGCCACTAATTGTATGGTAACAGTGGAAATAGGAAAATACTGAACCATATGATTTATGTACTTTTTTCTCTGACATTTCAATGAATCCTAAAGTGGTGCTATTTTTCCCGTTTGGCCCAAGGTCACACAGCTGACAAGAATCAGACTTAGAAGCCACACTCAGGCTGAACTTTAACACCCAAGCTCTTGCCATGGAAATACTATTTTAGCTTCTTTTTTATGCAAAAGTAAATTAAAGAATAAACCCAGACAACTCCAGGCCCTTCGTATTCAGCAGGAGGAGATAGGGCAAGTGAAGCACCTTCAACATTAGTCTTTGGCTTTTATAGGACATCACACGGCATCATTCTGTGGCACCTTCAGTGAATTAGGGGATTGTGCTCCAAGGATGGTGTATGGATGAACTTGTGCCCCTTCCAGTTCACAGGCCACAGACCTTACCCCCAGTGTAACGGTATCAGGAGAAAAGTCTTCTAAACAGGTAGATGTGGTTAAATGAAGCTGGAATGCGGGGCCCTAACCCTAACCCTATGCATGGCCCAAGCACATTAATACACAAGGCACATGGACTCTTTTACCTCCTGTTGGCCTTGTCAGACCCCTGCCCAAGCAGAAGAGAAAAACTTCCCAGGCAATGCGGTTACACACAAGGCAAGGCCGGGTTTGAGGAGAGCAGCCTGCCCCACGCAGCAACACCTGTGACTCCAAACACCCCTGAGGACCACAGACTTCCTCCACTCCAGGACAAAATTTCCCACCCCTCCCCTCCCCAAACCCCCTGTAAAGTTTCCCCTCGCCCAAGAGCCCAGGGTGCTCAGGACATGCTTGTGAACCTGCTGGGCTCTTTCTGCTGATCACCAGGGTGCGGCATG